ACAATTATGTACTTTCTGATTCTTGCCCATGCATGCCATCTGGCTTGCTGACCTCATAGGATTCCACCCTGGCCAGTAGGAAGGCCAAATTGAGCCTGAATGTGGGAGTATCTGATGATCTGCAAAAAAAAACACTTATGAGTCATCTATCAATCTGAGCTTATTTATCCACAGTTTCACCTGGTAATTCTGACTTTAGTTCTGACCCATGGTAGCAATATATAGAGCAGTGATGGCGAACCTTTTGAGCTTGGCATGTCAGCATTTTGAAAAACCCTAACTTAACTCTGGTGCCATGTCACATATAGAAATTTTTTTATATTTGCAACCACAGTAAAACAAAGACATATTTTTGATATTTATTTTATATATTTAAATACCATTTAACAAAGAAAAATCAAACACAAAAGTGAGTTTGTGTGTCACCTCTGACACGTGTGTCATAGGTTTGCTATCACTGATATAGAGCATCCCAATCTGATTCACTCAAAAATTCAATCCACATTTAATAATTATGTCCAGGGCACCATGCTTTGGGGGAACATATTCCCTATTCAATAAAATCACAATGATGCCAAGAAGAAAAACATGCACCCAACTAACTCTTATACACAGAATCAGGGCAGCAGTAATTGGAAGAGCAAGATCTCTTTTAGGTGGAAAATCAAGAAGGCTCCATGAAACAAAAAATGGCCTTTGAATTGGATCTTGAAGAAAGATGGGATTTCAGCACATAAAAAGAGAACATCCATGAATCAGGGTGATAGAAAACACAAGGCAATTCTGATATGACAGTCAGTGAGGCATATGGGAAAGGAGATTGGACCATGGGAATGAAAACAATGAGAAGGAAAAGCCCACAACCTGTAAGAGACTCATGTATCATGGGTGACAGAGGAGACGAAAAAGGTCAAGTTGAAGAAATACACACAACAGAACATATAAAGTGACTCAAAAGTTTGGATCCTGGGTCAGTTGGAGAATAGTAGTAATTATCAGACCTGAAAATAGAAGAGGAAAGAAGATTGAATTGTGTCAAGATGCTTCTCTGGACTCAGAAAATGACAGCTCAGCACCAAATTCATTCCTGCGACTAATATCAGACTCAGTTCTTGAGCTACTTACCACATCTCAGCACCCTCTCTCACCATATCTAATTCCTAACTCCTGTTACACAGTCTTTCTGGGTCTATCTCCCTAAACCTGCTCCCCACACTCCTGCTGACATAGACAGAGAGTGACTATAAGACATGAGTGAGTGGCAGTTGCCTGATATTCTGAACTCTGACCAAACTATCTATGTAGACTCTGTCACCCTCCTTTTCCCCCGGCTAATACAGTATTTATAGGCCCTTTCCCATGTTAACTGCCTTGGACGTTACCCTTTGTAGGATAATGTGTCCATCTGTGACCTACGTTCTAAACAGACCTCTTTGCTACTCTTTCTGATCTGCTCTGACATCCTACCACTCACTACAAAATTGCTCTCATTTAGTTGGCAATCTTGGAATGTAAAGTGGACATATTCTCATAGCTGATGCACATGTTCTACTTCGAAAATGTATTAGTCATCACAAGTACAGAAAAATACTTTTCAAAGGACTTCATTGTTTGGAGGATCCTCTTGTCCCTGATTGCATCATTAATCCTTAGGTGCTAAATGTCAATACTACTAAGGTAGTAGTAGTATGTGGGATTGATTATCCATAAGTATGTAAAATATGTGCCTTGATTTGTTCTATCACTGCTTTACCTTCCCCAACCAGTTATTTAGCTGTCATTTTTCATTGCAAAGGTAGACAACAGTCCACAGAACCTATGTTAATGGTGCCCAAAGAGCTTCAGAATCCACAAGTCTTAGTATGTCCCAGGAATGAAATAGGGGCATAATTCAGCAGAAGATGCACCTGCTAACACAGTGATACAACTACTTAGAAGGCAACTTTCCCAAAGAGTGATATCCACTCACTTTCCACCCTCTACACATGAAAATCTATTTTTAACAGCAAAGGTGGTGGTGCTGTTGATGACTCATAAGTATGTTAATTTGTGATGGCTGATCATGGGCAATCTTGACTAAGGGAATTATTTGCTGGATTTAATCAATTATTGGGCTCATCAAATGTGATTACATAAAAATCCAAGTGAAAGAAGGCATTAGACATTTGAGAGGGAAAATAACTCTTTGTTTGCCTTGCAATAGAGAGAGTTCATTGTATTATCTACATGTGCGATATCCACATGACTGATTGTCTCCACATATGTTTGTGTCTCAGGCTGTCTTCCTCCTAATGTCCAGAATATTTTTCAGCCATTTGCCCTTTTGAGAAAATGCCTAATGAATCAGCAAGACATACAATTTTTAAAGAATTAAAAACATGAAGAAAACAAAGAGAAAGGATTCTGAACTATCCTACTAGACTTTAATAAGCCCATACTTTCAAGCACAATAAATAATAAGCAATAGTGTAGGCTATCTTTGTGATATAGTGAGAGAAATGAGTATCCTATATAATAAAAGCCTAATATATTAAGTGTCCAGTCATCCGGTTGGCCGTTCAACCAAAGCGTAATATGCTAATGATATGCTAAGGTTGCTTAACCGCTCACTATGACATGCACTGACCACGGGGGGCGGGGGGGGGGCAGACAGTCAACTGGTTGACCAGTCACTATGACGTTCACTGATCACTGGGGGGAAGATGCTCCGACCAGTAGGTTAGCTTGCTGCTGGGGTCCGGCTGATCAGAACTGAGCAAGATGGGCCAGAAATGCCCTGGAGCCTTCCCATGGTCCCTCCCTGGCTGGCCAACCTCCTGCATCCCTCTCCGGCCCCAATTGTGCACTGGTGGGGTCCCTTGGCCTGCCCTGCACCCTATCACAATCCGGAACCCCTCGGGGGATGTCAGAGAGCTGGTTTCGGCCCAATCCCACAGGGCAGGCCAAGAGACTGGTGCACAAATTTGTGCATCAGGCATCTAGTATAATGTAAGTTCCTCCCAACAGACCTAATTGTTCTCAATGACCTTCAATACTGGTATCTCTTACAGTTTTTACCAACTCCTATTATAACTATTTTGTTCACCTATGTCTAACCTACAAGCCTGTGTACATCTTCACAAAGGGTGTTTCCTACAGATCTATTTCCAGTATTTAGTTAAGTGTATGACAATAGTAAGTACTAATGGAAAGATTCTTGTAAAGTACTATGCAGGTGACTATTGGTACAATATGATTATCAAAAAGATGAGAGATGCCTTTGGATAACTTCAATGACTCACAGAAATAGTTCTGGATTTATACAATGAGACATATGAAAACCGGACATGTGTCTGCAGAGGTCCTCGGGTTTGTGACTATGCCTTTATTTGTACCTCTGTCTTCGGTTATGCTAACCAATCACACCATTCACTAACATAAAATCATGAGCAAATAAACAGTTGTTTTAAACCATTAGTTTAGAAATGGTTTACTACTCAACCCATAGATTAGTAGACATGGCTCGATCTCATATGAAAATATGTGGGTAATTAAAAAGAAAGTTCAAATCAATCCTCTACTACTTTGTACTTTATATAACTTCAGTGAAACTGGTACAAGACAATCTGGATGTTGTTCTTTTACATCAACATAAAAAATGCAACAGCATTCACATCAGATATGTAAAAACATGCTTTCAAAAATAATCAACATAGTAATTTGAAACTGGACAGGTCTGAGCAACTCTCTTGTAAGACTCCCTCTTACCTGTCCACTGATCGCTCCTTAAAATAAAACTGAGACAACTTTGAAACATCTCATACTCCAGGTTAACACCACATGAAAGTGATATGTTACCTTTTACTACTGAAGACTATTATGCTCTCTAACTTGAGTGTTTAATTTACATCCTGTTCAGTGGTTCATATCCAATTACTACCATGTGCCCGATGAACCTGAACGAGACACAATTATTTAGCCATCTGTATAAGCTCACTATATTTAGGAAAGACCAGCAATCTCTAGGAAGCTTTAAAGTCTTAGTCCATTTTCTCTCAAAGATTTGTGCACCTCTATCATGCATATCAAATTACCACACCACCACTGTAGACTATTGACTTTATTTGGAAACCATACGACACAAGAGTCTCTGCTATGAGATGATATACAAAAATAATGCTTTCAAAAATAATTGACATAGGAATTCCAAACTTGACTCACCAGAAAAGGTAACATTCAAGTGGTCATCTGAAAGCATGACCACTTGTCGATACCTACTGGCATTCTACCTGCCTCAGTGATTCTTGATCTGAATGTCATTGGTTTAAAGCTATGACACCAAAGTCAAATACAATCACTGAAAAGCACACACGAGCCTTTGAGACTAAGGCGTGGGCTTTCAGTGCTTGGTGAACAAACGGTCTAAGCAGCTCTATTTCTTTGGCACATGCTGTCCAAGCTCTTCTCAATGAAGCAGAGTAATGGAGGGTGATGATGGATGAGAGTCTTCTTTAAATTGCCCTTTCCACAGTGAAATCGAAAAGATATCACTGCCCTTCAAGAAATTTGTACCTACACTTTGAGCTCAACAGCACTTTGTCAGCAAAATGGGCAAAGGATAATTTTAGACAAAGGAGAATTCAAACACTAAAACGTGTAAAGACCCGTTTGTGCTCTCATCCATATACCTGCAGCACACACCCCCTCTTCTCCCCCCGCCCCCATACACAGCCCCTCTCTGGCCAAGTTTTTAGCAAAATCACCAGACAGCTCAGCATGAATATGCTTTTCAATTCCCCGGGCCCACTCTCATGTGAATGTAGACACTCACTGGGCCATGCTGAATGCCTACGATCAATTTTTAATTACAACAGCAGTAGTGATCCGAGATAAAGCAGGCAACTGAGAAGGGACCAAGAGACAGTTTATTACAAATGAACGTCCACCATGACCAAATTTGCAGAGTTGTGCCCCAAATGACTTGAGCAACCAGCGGCCCTTTCTCAGAAAGAGGCTCTTACCTCTGGGATGTTTTCTTATATTTCCTCCTGTGGGTAAAGAAGCATAAACACGTATCAGGAAAGGGTTTGCGATAGGCAGTGGGTTAGAAAAATACCGCTTCTGTGGGGATGGACAGGGAGGGGAACTCTTTGTAGAAGGAACTCTCTGTGAGGCTTGGGGGTCTCATGTTAAAAGCTTTGGATTATTGTGTTATTTTGTGGCCAGATGCATATAACCAGAGTCTTAACAGTTACAAATAGCAGCCCAAGAACTTGAGGGCTCAGCCCCCTATGTTTTTTCCTTTCCCTTCTGAGGGCACTGAAGCATCTTTGCTGAGGTCAAACTTTAAAGCCATCAGGATCCAGGTTCAAATCTCAGGTCTTCCATTTATCAGATTCATGGGCTTGTTGAGGTGTAAAGGGCCAGAGGCTTATAAAGCACTTCTTTTTCTGGCAAATAGTAAATGGTTACTAACCATTGGCTCCTAGCACTGTCACTATCCTTACTGTTACCTCCATTGTCTAGCACTGAAGTCTCTTTAAAGATGTGCCTTTTAAAATGTAAATGCATAATCATGCAGCTAAACCATAAAATCAGACACCAGGTCTTCAAAGAAGAAGGAAGGGAGGAAGGGGAAATTAGAAGGTCTAAAGGCAGAGTCCTGAGAGCAGCATTAGCACCATGCTAATGGCTCAGCAGTGGGCTCAGTCTGGAGGGACACCTCCCCAGGAAGCAGGAGAGACTGAGTCCGTCTCTGCTATTTACAGTCTCCACGTAGCGTCGGGACAATCTATTGGGCTCAGGGCTTCTTCATCTATCAGTGGGCTAACACCTACCTGGCTCTCTCACCTAGGACACAGTGGCATTGGAGGGGGAAATGGCCATGGGAATTTCCCAGGATCCCCACGTTGTTCACGCCCAGCTCAGTTTTTGTAGACTCTGAAGACCCTCAGAAGGGTTTTGATCGGCTTTTCACTGGAGGGGATTGGAGGAAAGGCACCTCCAGGAAGCGCAATGCTTCCCAGTCACCCTCAGTTCCACACCTGCTTTCCCATTACAGTCACTGCACCCAGGAAGCCAAGCCACTGATTGGCTAACAGATCGGTATGTCACAAGTTTAAAAAAAGAAAAAGCACAACTGTTTCAAGTTCAGGATCCCTATGACCTGTTACATCTCTGTCCAAATGGAAACATGCATGGTAGCGTTAGGTGTTAAGTGAAGAAACGTCATGCCACACAGAACCCACAGCGGGATCCTACCTAGATGTGTGCTGACATCTATTCATCTGAAAGCAAACACAGCAGAATGACAGCCATGACCCCAGGTAATGGGTTATTGGATCACTTCTTTTCACTTTATGGATTTTCCAAATTCTCTTTTTAAAATGAGCATTATGAATCATATTGGAAAAAAAGAAAATATTCATACACCTATACATACATAGTCACATATACAGATAGACACGCATATATAGGACTATTTGGATCTACAGAGATATTTACCTGTGTGCGTTAGATCATGTAAATCGGGAGGAGGGCCAGCTCACTGTGTAGCTATAAAGTGGGAATAATCAGAGCACCTCTCTCAGGAGCTTGTGGGGGGAAATGAGTGATAACCCACCTAATGTTGGCTCCCAGAGGCAGATTCTCTGTAAGCTTCCCCCCTGCATCCCAGCACCTAAGGCAGTGCCCTGCATTCCCTCCAAAAGCTGTGCTGCATGTGTGCTGACTATCCACTCTCTCATACATGTACCCTCTCACCAGTGACCTATCACTCACACTCTCTAGGCAGTAGCCGAGGGCAGAGGTTTCATCGACAGGCATAGAGCATAGTGAGCTGTGGGTCTGCCTTTGCCCTTGGTCCTTGTTAGAACTGCTGTCAAATGAACTGGACTAAGGAGTCTTTAGCAGGAGCAGAAAATGACCCATTGAGAGTGCAAAGATCGACATTAAGGGGGAAGAAACGCCCGATGGACACAGCTGGCTCCTACCCAAAGCCCAACTAGCTCTATCAGCAGAGGGTGTCTTCAGAGGCCGGAAGAAGGCAACTTTAGCTCTTGGCTTCCACGGAATTCTCCCAGCATCTGCCAAGCACCGTACAAAGGCACTGCTGGGAGCACCAAGACAGTCAAAGATAAACAAAAATAATAGCTTCCATTTTCCACACCTACCAGTAACAGGCACTTAACATACATTGCTAATCCTCATGATAACTCCAAGACCCACTCTCTGAAAGAATTTGAATTCTAAAAAATGAAGTTAAGACATGTACCTAAAGTGTTGTTTTGTGACCATAATCTATACAAGGGTTGGCTAAAGAAGCTTTATGGAGGAGGTAGTCTAGATTGATGGCGGGGTGAGGGGGGAAGGTTCAACAAGGAGAAATATGTCAGTAGGAGGCAAGCAGGTAAGGAAAGCACACCGAGCAGCCTCAAAAAGCCCACCCAGTTCAACCCAACCAGATATGGAGGAAAACAGCAGGTAATAAGGCTGCAAAGTGCCTAGGACAAAGTTTTCAAAAGTAGTAACATTTATACTTATTTTTTTAAAGGTGACACCTGGGAAAAGGGATAACCACTTACTATGCCTTGTCTCATCTTTGCTTATGTGGAAAGACAAATATGACAGACTTGATTCAAAACCCAATTTCCCCTCCTCTCTAGCTATGAGACCTCAGGCACGCTCTATGCAAAATCAAGCTTTAGTCTCCACATCTATCGTGTAGAAGGAGTTACCTCAGAGGACACAATGGACTGAATTTGCCAGGCACTCTGCATGCCATATAAAGGGCATTCTAAAAAGTGTAGTTCCCTTTGCCCCTTGTTTTGAGCCTCTTGAAGTCAGGGGTGCTATTAGATGGATCTCTGTGTCTATCCCAAGGGCTTGCACGTGGTTGGCACACAACGAACGCCTGTTGGCCAAATAGCGGAATCATTTGCACCTGCCACTCACACCTATCAAAATATGGGGCATGTACTTAGGACACCCAAAGAGAGACCAAATCTGGTTTTCAGTCCAGCTCCCCTTCCTGCCACTCACTCCCCGCTCCAGAGATGCATTCTTGGCTTCACGGGTCATGAAGGTCTCCCTCCCCATCTTGCCCCTTTTAGACACAAACAGCTCCCAAATCAAGATAGCCAAATCCAAACAGTGTCATCTTATGCTGGAGTTGAAAGGTCAGCACTTAACGCACAAGAGAAAATGCAAGTCCATGGAAATCACTCTATCGAAGATCCTACTCACAGAGCAGCGTGACTGGCAAGGCTGGTGAGGCCGGACCGAGCCCTTCTCATCCTTCAGTTCTCAGCGGAGACATCACTTCCTCCTGAGAACCTTCCAGGGCCTCCCAAACTCAGAAGTGCCCCTTTCAGTGTCGCTGCATTTGTCACTCCAGGAGGTTATGATCTGTTATGCTGGTGGCAAGAATGATGGCTTGTCCGGAACCTGCTAGAGTTTCTCTCTTGCCAGACACAGTGCTTGGCAGATGCCAGATGCTCATTATATTGTTGTGGAATGATGAGTTTATCAGGAAACTGATCCCCAAAATGCTTTCTTTCTAGTGATGTCCCTCTGTTTGCTGAGGATTCCCAAGCAGTGAGGCATCTCCCACAGCCGTGCTGTCTACACAAAGGAGGGAAGCGATGGGAGAAGGCTGGGGGCTCAGGACTGTCACCTTTGACCTCTTACAGATCCTGGGCAGTGCATCTCACATTATACGGATGGAAATGGGGCTCAGAGAGGTTACGTAACTATCTAAGGATTCAGAACCTTAAAGCGGATCAGACCGAAAGCTAACTCTGAGGCCTTCAAAGAAAATTGGGGAAATTAGGCAAAGAAGTCAAAGCCAGGAGGAAACTTAGGCACGAGACAAAAACAAACAAAACCAACAACAATAGAACATAATGGGTTCTTTCCATCCAAACACAGGAAATGAGCTGGAAAAGAAGCCAGTTTATTTTCGGCCTTTTGTTTTTAAAAACGTCAATAGAATTTACCCCTGATCACGCCCTGAAAGACCGAGGGAATGTTTTCACATGGTCTGTTTGGGTGTTTCAAACTTACTTTTGATAGATGATTTTGAAACTTGGAGCAATGCAACACTAATCTCAAGATTCATGGAGCCCATTGAAGCTGATGGCAAAAGGAGAGAATGACGGGGAGCTGCAGTGCTGTGGGAGCTAGCAAGGTTGGTGGGGTGGGTGATGGAGAGAGGGCAGCGGCTGGACCAGGCAGAAGACAGGTCATCCAACAGGGCCAGGCTGAAAACCCCATCCATGGAGGCCCAGAACAGTGCCTTCCAAACCGTACCCAGAAGGGTCCCTGCTCTTCACATACAGGCACATGCATGTGCACGCGCACACACATACAGGCACAGCACTGTCTGTCTGTGTGTTTGTTTTAAGGAGAAGCATTACAGCACAACGCTTCAGATCTCTTGCCTGAGCTCAAACCTCTTCTCCAATGTTTTGTGTCTAATAAGCCATGTGAATTTTAGCAACTTTCATCATGTCCCCAACCACCAGTCTCCTCAACTGTAAACGTAGGTAACAATCATACCTGCTTCACAAGGCGGGGGCGGGGAGCTGAATGGAAAAATGAATCTACCTTTTTGCATTTGGCACAGTACTGGGTATCCAGTTCATGTCAAAATCAAGTTGGTGATTGTATTAACAACAACAGTACTGAACAAATAATGGTATTGTAATTCAATCGGTTTCCAAATTTTGTGTTGGGATGAAAAAAGTCATTCATTGATTTACAGGGTAAAGAAAAACGGTCGAAGATTGATTTTGAAACTGGAAAATTGAATACTCCCAACTCTCCCTATCTTAGAAAACTTGAATCACAAAGGAAGTGGGTGCTAATCTCAGTTCTGCTAAGAGGAGGAGCTGAAGCCCTGCCCAGCGGCCTCCTGTCCCCTATGCTCAAGCTGTACACAGAGACACCACCCACCAGAGGCCCCAGGTACCTTAGCAGAACAACACACTTCCCTCTAATACAGTGGTTCTCAACCTTGGCTGCACATCAGAATCACCTGGGAATCTTT